GCTCACCGCCATCGCGCGGGGCGCGGCGCGGAGCCCGCGGGGGGCGCGGCCCGGGAGCCGCACCGACGGTGCCGCCGCCATCTTGGCGAGGGGAAGCGCCGCCGCTCCCCGGCCTCGCGTCCGTCCCGGAAGTACCGCCCACCCTCGCGCGCCGGAAGCGCACGGCCTCGCGAGCCACGCCCATTCCGCCTCGGGCCGAGCGTGAGCGGCGCGTGAGTGACACCCGGGGGTGGGGGGGGCAGGGGGCTCGCGCAGCGCCCGCCGGGATAACGGGAGCCCCGAGCGCGCGCGAGCCCCCGCCAATGGGCTGGCGGCTGCGGATTGGGCGGCGCGGCCGGGGCAGCGGGGTGACGGAACCCTTACTGCGGGCAGCTGATTGGTCAGTGCCCTGAGGGGGCAGCGGCCAGTGAGCTGATTGGTGGGGCCGTGGCTGTGGGGCCGGCGGGAGGGAGCTGATTGGGGGGGCTGTGGCTGGGGGCAGGCGGGAGGGAGCTGATTGGGGGGGCTGTGGCTGGGGGCAGGCGGGAGGGAGCTGATTGGGGGGGCTGTGGCTGGGGGCAGGCGGGAGGGAGCTGATTGGGGGGGCTGTGGCTGGGGGCAGGCGGGAGGGAGCTGATTGGGGGGGCTGTGGCTGGGGGCAGGCGGGAGGGAGCTGATTGGGGGGGCTGTGGCTGGGGGCAGGCGGGAGGGTGATGGTTGTTGTGGCGCCCCGGGCAGGGCAGGTGCCTGGTGCCCCATGGTGCCACATGTGTGTAACCCCCAATGCCAGGTTGGTGACAGCAGCCGCACGGTGACAGTGACAGTGACAGCAGTGATGGGCGCGGGGACGCAGCCGGCGGAGGCGCAGTGTGACTCGCTGGAGGGGTGAGGCCCTGCCCTGCCCCGTGCCCCCCCCGTGCTCCCCAGCACCGCTCACCCGCCCTGCCCCTACAGGAGGGTCTACCTGGACTACAACGCCACCACCCCCCTGGCCCCCGAGGTGGCCCAGACCGTGTGGGACGCCATGTGCCAGGCCTGGGGCAACCCCAGCAGCTCCCACCCCGCAGGTAGGGAGCAGGATGGGCCACGTTGCCTTCTCGGGTGGGCCCCGTGGTGACAGGAGCCCGCGGGAGCTGCTAGGTCCGGTCGTGCAGGCAGCAAGGCGAAGGAGCTCATCGGCAGCGCACGGGAGAGCCTGGCGAAGATGCTCGGAGGCCGCCCCGAGGACATCGTCTTCACCTCAGGGGGCACGGAGGTGGGAGCAGGGGGGACCCCCTTCCTGGGAATCCCTGCCCACCCCCCCTCCAGCCAGCAGCGATGAGGAGGGTGGGGATGAAGGGCACTGTGCTCCTTCTGAGCCTCTGTTTTCCCTCTCCTTCCCCACTTCAGGCGAACAACATGGTGATTCACACTGCCTGCAGGCACTTCCACGACAGCCAGCGTGGGACGGGGGACAGCCGGGGCATACCACACATCGTGACATCGAGCGTGGAGCACGACTCCATCCGCCTGCCGCTGGAGCAGCTGGGCAGGGAGGGCCTGGCGGGTGAGTGGCACAGGCAGAGGTGGGGTTTGAATGGGGGACATGTCTCTGCTGGTGTTTTCAGAGGAGGGCAAGATCCTGCATGCTCTGTGATGTTCCACTTTCTCCCCCTGGAGAAGGGCACCATTTCCCCCTGCGGTTGCCCTCGTTGCCCCAGGCTGGATGTGTCACCTCCCTGCTCCGTGCTGTGCTCCCACTGCCCACACACTCTGCCCTGCTCAGTGGGGCACATGCAGCCCTGAGCACTCCCAGCCTCCCCAGCCAGCCTCAGGCCTTGTCTTCTGGCCTGCAGAAACCACCTTTGTGCCCGTGTCCCCACGGAGCGGGCAGGCAGAGGTGGACGATGTCGTGGCCGCCATCCAGCCAAACACGTGCCTGGTGTCCCTCATGCTGGCCAATAACGAGACCGGCGTCATCATGGTGAGTGTGGGCAGAGAGGGGCACGGGGCGGAGATCCCCTCGCAAAGAGGCGGTGGCAGAGGGCCCGGGAGGTGCAGCCCCTCCTCCCTGCCCCGGCCCGGGAGGTGCCTGGGATGCAGCCCCTCCTCCCTGCCCCGGCCCGGGAGGTGCCTGGGATGCAGCCCCTCCTCCCTGCCCCGGCCCGGGAGGTGCCTGGGATGCAGCCCCTCCTCCCTGTCCCCAGCCTGTCGCCGAGCTGAGCCAGCGCGTCCGTGCCCTGAACCGGCGCCGGGCGGCCGAGGCGCTGCCCAGGGTGCTGCTGCACACGGATGCAGCGCAGATGATTGGCAAGGGCCGCGTGGACGTGCAGGAGCTGGGCGTGGACTACCTGACCGTCGTGGGACACAAGGTGTGGCCCTGCTCATGTGGCCCAGCTGCTGGTCACCCTGTGTGACATCTCTGCGAGGGTGCCAGGGGGACTTTGGGTGCCCCACGCAGCTTGGTAGCCCACAGTAGCCAACGTTCTCCTGCTGGGTGGTGCTCTGCAGACAGACTTCACTCCTGTGGATGCTGTCTGGGCTGGGAGCAGGAGACTGAGCATGGGGAGCAGCTCTGTAAAGGGTTGTGCCTGAGTGATGGGCAGGGGCAGCACTGGAGGGCACTCAGATTTGGGCAGGAGGGCAGCAAGCACTGTCAGTGTCCCCAGGGTCACTGTGGCTGTCCCCACAGTTCCATGGCCCACGGATTGGAGCGCTGTACATCCACAGGCCTGGCACTGCCACCCCGCTGCACCCCATGCTCTTTGGAGGGGGACAGGAGAGGAGTTTCCGGCCAGGGTAAGGGGGCAGGTGGTTACCTGGAGAGCTGGGCCCCTGGCTGGTGGCCAAGCCACACGGGCTGCCTTGTCTGAGCTGGCAGCTGTGTCACCTGCCAGCCCTGGGGCAAGCAACCCAGCACGGCAGGGAAATGGATCCATGCATGGAAATTCCCTGGAGCTCAGGCTTTGCCAAGGGTGTAACCTCAGGGTGGAACTGCCTCCTCCTCAACCACCTCAGAGAGGTGTCCAGGAGCGCCTGCCAGCCATGAGGGGTCCCATGAGGGAATGTCTCAGGGTTGGTCAGGAGAAATAACTCACTGGTCTCTGTTCCCTTCCAGCACTGAGAACACCCCGATGATTGCCGGCCTTGGCCAGGTCAGTTGGCATGGTCTGGGGTGAGTGGTGCAGACCCAGCACAGAGACGGCCACTTGTGCTCCCTGGTCATCAGAAGGGACAAACCTGGGATATGTGGGAGGGAGGGTGAGCTGGGAAAGGTGGTGGGGCTTTCTGATGCCAGTTGAAGGAGCTGCTTTGGCACACTTGCTGTGGGTTTGCAGCCCTGACAGTCACCCAGCTCACGTGGCACAGGGCACTGAGAGGGGACACAGGGGACCTGGCACTGCAGAGGCTGTTCCAGGCTGGGCTCACATCCTGGGGCCCGTGCACAGGGCAGGGTGTCCAAGGGTCACTGGTGGAGCCTGTCTGTGTGTTCTCAGGCTGCAGAGTTAGTGAACAAGAACTGGGAGGCCTATGAGGCTCACATGAGGGATGTCCGGGATTACCTGGAGGCCACGCTGGAGGTGAGCACATCTAGTCCCTTCCCCCAGTGTCAGGCTGCAGGGTGTGGGGCCTGGAGCAGGGTGGATATGTCCCTCTGGCCCTGCCCATCCCCTCATAAGGACAGAGCTGCTTGGAAACCCAGAGAGGTTCCCAGCCCTCTGATTTCTCCAGGCCTCCTTTGGGAAGCAGAGGATTCACTTCAACAGTCGCTTTAAGGGCTCCAAGCGACTCTGCAACACCTGTAATTTCTCCATCCTGGGCCCAGGCCTTCAAGGTAGCTCCTTCCTGCTGCTGTGCCATGATTGTTGCACAGAGCCAAGCACCTGCCCCTCGCAGCACCTGTGGCTGAGACTGGCGGGCACTTGGCATGGCTCAGGCAGGGAGGTGAGGCAGGAGGGAGCCTTGGCAGTGGGAGAGCTGTTCTTGTGTTGCTTGTGCTGCAGGACGAAGGGTGCTGGCTCACTGCAAGGTGCTCCTGGCCAGCGTCGGGGCTGCCTGCCACTCTGAGAAGGGGGATCGGTGAGCAGACGGCTTTCCCAGCCCCTGGTGTCTTCCCAGAGGACAAGAGTTGGGAGGGATGGAAACAGGACAGGGAAAGGGACAGTGGGTGGCTTGGGCAGCATCACCTGGAACAGAGGGTACAGAGCTCCTTCCAGAGGAGCTGAAGGGCTGTGAAGGGGATTTTTGCAGGAGAGAGCTGGAATGCTCCATTGCTTCTTGGAAGGAGTTTGTCCCTCCCAGCTTTGGTTATCCAGCTGAGCTTGGAAGTACTTTTGAACTCCTGGCGCTACCAGAAGAGAGCCTGCCTTGTGTCTGTGTGTGCCTGGCTCACCTGCTCCAGCCCTGCTTGGGTCTCCAGATGGCTCCTTTTGGGGATGTGGGGACTGTGGGTGCTTTTGGCCTGGTCTGGAGCAATGCCCTCTGGATGTGGCAGAGCTGCCAACCCACAGGGACATGGAACAGGCTCTTCTTAGCAGAGCCAGATCCCCCACAGGGCAACAAGCCTGGTGGGATTGGGTGCCCCTGGAAAGCAAACGGGGCTGTGCAGGGGACAGGTACCCTGGAGTGTATCTGCAAATGTGATTGCTCCTGTGGCTGGGTGAGGCTCCCTGCTGTGTGGGGCTTCCTCAGCCTTGGAGTCCAACCTCCTCCTCCTCCCGGCTGTGTTGCAGGCCCTCCCCAGTGCTGCTGAGCTGCGGGGTTGCCCCGGAGGTGGCGCAGAACGCGCTGCGGCTGAGCGTGGGGCGTGGCACCACACGGGCAGATGTGGACAGGGCTGTGCAGGACCTCGTGCAGGCTGTGGAACAGCTGCAGCAGGACCAGGCCCCTTAGAGCCCTGAACTGCTCCACGGACACCAGCCAGGTTCTTGGGGTGGGCCCTGGGTGCTGCCTGTGCCAGCCTGGGCTCCAGGTGGCAGGGGGAGGTTCTGAGGAGGGGGCTTGGCTGCTTTGGGGCTGGGGCAAGACTCAGCCCTGCTGCACAGTGGAGGCTGCTGCAGAGTCCTGGTGTCCAGTGCCCCTGGCTTGCCAGATGTACCTGAGTGCCTGCACACTACGTGTTGGCACAGCTGAGCCGCAGGGCTCGAGTCCCTGCAGAGGGACAGGCATGGAAGCCATGGAAGGAGGAGCCTCATGACCTGCTTGCTTTCCACAAAGGAAGCTTTCCTGCTGCCTGAGCAGCCAGAGGAAGAAAGACCATCTGCCCCAGAGTGAAATGAGGAGTTGATAGAAGCACAGCAGGATTCTGGGCTGGGAACTGCTCTGCCCTAGGCTGTCAGAGGGATTTCTGCTGGGCAGAGCTTTCCCAGCACTGCTTTGCTTTACCTGCTCCCCTTTTATTCTGTCCTTCTACAGGGGACAGAGCTCCTGTTGCCAGCTCCACCTGCTCCTCAAGGAAAGTTGCTGGGGCAGCTGTGACTGTGCCAGCACCTGAGGGACCCCTGCCTGGCCCAGGGGGTCTCTAGCATCACCAGCACTGGAGGACACAAGTGTCACGCGGATCAGCAGTGTTGCCATCTGGGCTGGCTGATGTCAGGGAACTTGGTCTCCCTAAGTATTCATAGGAATAAAAGTAATTGCTGCTTCTTTTCACAACGGATCAGGAGCGTTGCCATCTGGGCTGGCTGTCAGGGAACTTGGTCTCCCTAAGTATTCATAGGAATAAAAGTAATTGCTGCTTCTTTTCACAAGTAAAATGTATTTTCTCTGGGGGAAGCTGGACTGGTTGGAGCCACCTGAGTGATGCCTTTTCCCTCAGAAAATGCTCATGTCACAGAACAGAGGCACAGGCAGCTGTAGTGGGAGGTGCCTGCAGGGCCTGGTTGGCACAGAGCCCATCAACACAGGTGCTGGCCTTTCTCTTTACAGCCACACATTAGAATGGCCAGGAATACTATTTGGGCTCATAAAACCCTGGGGCTCTTGGCGAATCCAATGCCTTCCTGGAGGTTTAGGACCCAGGAACCCTGAGTGACAGTCACTGATGCTGCCAGGCTGGTCAGTATTACCATGCTGCTCACACCTCCATCTCAAATGCATTCTTTTATTTCTCCATTTTTATGCTCCCTTGGATAATACTCAAAACCTCCTTTAGAAAATATGGTTCCATTGAAGGGATTTTGGTCTGCTTCAGGGCTAGATCTTTTATCTGTCATGGACCTTATGGTTCCTGGGGACCTGTCACAGCTGTGGCACAACTGGAAATCCAGATTTTGAGGCTCCCTTTCCCCCATAGGACGTGTGGGCTCCCTGCATTGTTTCAGCCAGAAATTTAGCCACAAAGCACAAAAAGCTTTACTGACTTCTTTATATGCACAGGAAATGCAAGTTTTAGCCACAGAAATTTAGCATTGCTCCATTTAGAATATGACAGCCACAGCTTAAGAAGCATTACAGAGGAAATGACAATTTGGTTTGACAGTTTTAATGGTTTTGCTGCTCATCTTCCCACTACCACAGCACACATGAATGAGAGTCACCTTTCAGTCCCTCTGTATTGCTTTATCCAGAGAAGGTCAAGAAGAGCTTGGCCTGTATTTCAGTGGGCCAGCCTGTGCTGGCTGTGCTACTCTTTTGGATATGACAAAATGCTTGTGTGCAGCAGAACAAATCCACCTGGCATGGGAGCCTGGAAACACCAACATTGCTACATCAGCTGAGAGTGAAATGGTAGAGAGAGGCCTGGCCACTAGGCTTGGACACAGGAGCTGAAAGGAGTCACTTCCACGTGGTCACAGCCAGAATCAGACATGGAAAACCAACATTCATTTACTGGACAAATCCACAATCTCCTGATAATCTTGCTTTCTTAATTCCTTCCAGGAAAGCTTGTAACATGCAAGGAAAAAAACACTCACCAAAATAAGCACTGCCCCGACCAGGTCACAAGTGCCTGGGAAGCTGTGCAGCACAAGGAGCTGCAGGACCATGGCGATGACGATCTCCAGGTGCTGCACAGTGCTCACCAGAGCGGGGTGGAACTTGCCCAGGGCATGGTAGACCCCCAGGAAGGCTGCAGTGGAGCACAGGCAGATGGCAAGGAGATAGCTCCAGGTTTCCCCATCCAGTGGGACGATTGGCTCTTGGAGCAGGAACATGGTGGACACTCCCCACACTGTTCCCGTCCAGCTGAAAGTGAACAGCGCTGTCCACATGCTGATGCTGTCTTTGATGGACCTGTAGATTATCATGGAGAGGGCAGTGGTCAGACCGGCCATGACGGTCATGGTATAGCCAAAAGCTTCCTTCCAGGTGCTCAGCAAAGAGTTTTCCTCCTTGACAATGTTGGGGATCATGACCAGACAAACCCCGAACACACTGCCCATGACAGTGAGTACATCTACATAAGCCATTCCTTCATCTATGAGTAAAAAAGCCAGAATGGCACTGAACACCGTGGTGGTGGCCCTCCACATGATGGTCCCATTGCTGGGGGGCACTATGGAGAAGGAGGTGTAGGCACAGGTGATGGAGATGACATTGCAGACCCCATAGAGGAACAGGCGGAGCCTGTAGCCTTTGGGGCCGAAGGGAGGCTCCTGGTGGTAGCACACAGCAATGAGGGACAGCACCTGCAGGACCGAGCGGATGAAAATCAGCTCCAGAGATGGCACTTTGGAACGGTCAGAAATTAACCTGGTGATCAGAGCCACACATCCGTGAGCCACGGCAGACCCAAAAAGGACTGCCCACGTTTTCCTGGACTGCAGTACATTGCCTTCAGCAAAGTGCTGGGATGGTCCAGCCTCATCAGGTTTTGGCAGTTGTGCTGGCTTGGTGTCTATTGTACCAAAAAAAGTATTTTCTCTCTTTTTCCCATCATTCAGTAGTCTTCTCTTAGGATTATCCTCCATAAATACTCCAGTATCCTCATTAGCATCCTCACATCCCTCTTCTCCTGGCTGGGGATAATGAGAGGTGTATTTCACTGTTACTGTGTTGGGATGAATTTTCACTCGCTTCTTGACTGGGTATTTTTGGGAAGACGCATCCATTTCCTTAGAAAAATGCCCTGGTCTTAAGAAAAAAGAATGGAGATACATTGTTGTTTAATGAATAGTAAAAGATTCATAGATGTAAGTGCTTTTAGTGTTTACAAGCTATTTTTATCAACCAAATCCAAGTTCTAGTAGCCTGTTCTTGGTTTTGCTTTAATTTTCCACCAAGTTACTGCTAAATACCTCTGATGGCTGGGCCATTTGGATCTCCTGAAAAATCAACCACTGCACTTCACTTTAGTCACTAACTTTTGAGAATAACATATTTTGTCATTATGCATGGTATACATAATGAATTCTAGTATATTCTAATAAGAAAGTTCTCTTGCTAAGCTTTTTACCCTGTGGTTATGCATTATTGCTAATAGCTTGCCAGTGTTAGAAGATTACGGGAGAAATTTGGCTGGAGGAGATGACTGAGTAACCCAGGGAAATAGGGAGCACCCCCAGGCATGTCAGCAGTTTGCATATGGATAACAACACATTTTTGAACACAACTGTGACAGCGTTAAACCCTTCTGTCTCCTTGAGAAGGGACGTCTCCCACTACACAAACAGTGCCTGTGATTCCTGCGGGGTGGGGCAGTTGTTTGATAAAGGCAGGGTATGAAATGACTGCTCTCACACCATCTGTGCGGAGTCTGCCGAGTGAAGAGGCAGCAGGAGCAAGGAAACCTTCCCCACCTTCTCTTCAACCCAGTAAATAAAATCTGTGCAGACCTTACCTGTGACAGAGACATTCGATTCCAAGGCACAGGGGGAAAACACCTCTTCATCATCTACATCTTCGATGGGCTATCTAGACACAAACAACACTTGCTCTCAGGTACCGGCAGTGAAGATTACAGCCCTCTCTGCACAGAAAGGAAAAGCCAAGGGAGGCTCAAACCCCAAACCGCTTTAGATGGAGAGAAAGCAATCAGTGGCATCGTGTCAAAACCACTCCTCAGCCATCTCCCGGAATTACTGAGGGAGCTGATCCAAAGAACAAGTGGTGGCTTGTGAGCATAAGGTTCCTACAGCTCGACAGCGAGCCAATCCAGCCTCCCGTGCGTGCGGTGCTGCCCCGCGGGCTGCAGAGGGGAGGGAGGCAGCAGGAGCCATCCTCCCTGCCCGGAGCCGGGCTCTGGCAGCGGCAGCGGCGGCAGCAGCCTGGCCCCGCAGCACGGCTACAGACACTCCTGTCCCAGGGGGGACAGCAGCGTTCCCGGGGGCCCTGGTGGTGCAAGGCCACAGCTGCTGTCCTGGGGCTGAAGGGCAGGACGGCAGATTGTCAGGGAGAGCGCAGGTCTAAAGGCAATGGTGAAGTGCGGGCAGCAGCTCCTCACAGAAACACTGAAAATACCGCGGCCAGGTTCAGCCGTGGCATTTTCTGTTCTTGTGATCTGTGACAGCCAAGCACTGCCTGCGGCTCTGGCAAATTAATTTCCATGAGAAAGGGACAGTCTGCCTTTTCCCTCCCGGGCTGTGTTCATTAACCCCTGCTACACCCCAGCTGAGCTGCAGGGGACACGGGCGGCACCAGTGCCAGCTCTGGGGCAAGCAGCACCAGTCTGGACTGCACAGGGGCTGAGAAGCCTCTCGAGTCCCCCTGTCTCACAGGCCTCGCCCAGCACTGCTGTCCGCGTTTTTCTGCTGCAGACCCGGGCCCGGGCACACCCAGCACCCCGAGGAGCAGCCCGGGTGTCCATGGGCAGCTTACTGCCCAAGGAACTTGGGAACGAGCAGATGGATGAACGCCAGGGAGAGCACACAGAGCTGGGTATCAGCTGTGCTAGCGGGCACTTCAATCCACACATCAACATTTACCAACCCCTGCCAGGAATCTGCCCCCGGCTCACCCGCCACCTTCACTTTTCCTTCACTTAAACTGCTCATTTCCGAACCTTAACATGCAAATGCAAACCGCACTGAGCGAGCCCAGGAAGGCAGTGATTTTCACCTGCACGGCTTTTCCTACCTAGCATTTTCACGGCGTTACAATCCACAGTTTTTCCTTGCAGCCTTAAAAAAATTAAGACTTTCTTGCTTTAAGGCACAACATACTGGATCGTGAATAAAATAAATGGGAGGAAAAGAAGACAAAAGTGGACAGCAGGAATCATTATTAGATTGATAGTAGACCACTGGGTAAACTCATTCATTTCGTTAAGAAACAGCTGAGTAAACGCTGCCACTGTTCCTGAAAACAAACCAAAACAGCTCATTTGTTACTATGAGCATACAGTAACTTTCTTGGTTCCTGCCTTTAGGTCACATTTTCTTCCAACAAATAGTTGCAAATTCAATGGAACAGTTTCAAATGAGGCACTGGACCTGTGCAAAGCATTCAGGGATCTCTCTGGAGGAAAACAATAGCTGGTGAGCTGTAGCTCAAAATGGCTGTTGTGCACAGAGCTGCCAGCTGGGAGCCAGAGCAGCTGGGAGTCTGCAGAGTGCAAGGGCAAACACGTGTGAAAGGCAGGAGATGGGAAGCAATAAAGAACAAAAAAATAAATAACAGGAATGCTAAGACCAAAATTTCATTTTCCCAACTAAATACTGAGTGTATGATAATAGTGATGCCAACCCTTTCTCAGTACATTTGTTTGTAGTCTTTGGTGACCTCACTTTTCTTAACCAGGGAAAGTTTCTACGCGGACTGAGATTAGGGCATATCCCAGATCCCTGACACAAATTTAAGACAGGCAGAAACCAGCACAGCCTATACAGACAACTTGCTACTTCTCTTTCTGCCCATGCCTTTTGTGGACATGACATGAACTTTTTTATTTTTCCTATCTGGAAACTTAATGTGGTTTATTTGCATTTTCTATTAAAAACACAAGGTGATTTTGAATCAAGTGTAATACAGGGCTGAAGATGAAGCACTATGCAAAATTGTCAAGTTATATAACAAACATTCCCAATTCAGCCTGGGACACCCATTTAAATTACCAGCTCATTGAAATCACTGACTGCAAAGTGTGAACCCTGTTCTCCCTGGGGAACAAATAACCACTGTAAATTAAATAAATGGCACAGATCATGGATAGAATACAAACCATAATTTTAGAAGGAAAAAACCGGAATACTCCCCTCCTTCCTTCCCTCAACCTCTGCAAGTGCTGGTTAGGCAGGCAGGAATAGGTGATTAGCTGCCCCCTGACTGCAGGGGGTGGGAGCCTGAGCTCTCCTCCTGTGCCTGGAGGAATGAGGGCTTTCAGGTCTGCTGATTCTAACCACCAATCTTGAATAAACTCACAAAAAAAATACTGTCATCTTCTGCCAGATTGGTTAAAATCAGTCAGCCTACTGAAGAGTTATTATGAAAGACTCACAGATGTGGCAATTCCAGCCCGGATACGGAGTTGGGAATAAGGCAGCTACCCCAGCACTCTGAAAGACAGGCTCCACAGGAACCCTGTGCCTCTTCTCTGGAAAATCCCCCAGTCCCGACCAGATCAGGCTGAAACTACCAGAGGGCTGCGAGCAGTCTCTCCAGGGTAACTACAGGCTGGCAATTCTCCCTGAACATCACACAAAGGAAAGACCCACCCACCCCTGGAGACCCACAGAACTGACTGAACTCTGCCACCTTCTCTAAGCACACGTGTGCACTGACTTCTCAGCATAAGGGTTTTCTTCTGATCCCTTATCAGGTGCAGGGAAATCTCCTGAAGCCCTGTTTCAGCACCATTAAACCACCTGGAGATTCTTGGGGGTTTCATACTTCAGGCAACTGCACATGCCAAGGGACCTACACTTAGGTGCTGCACGAGTACCTTTATCTTTTCAGCCAGATTGACATAAATCAATTTGATTAAAAATACATTCCAAGAAACTCAAGTCTTCATTAAAATTTAATGAATAGCAAAAGGTATTTAAGAAAATGAAGAAGCAATTACATGAAAGGAGTTTTCAGCACTTAAGCACAAGAGCAAGCATTACACACGAACCAAGAAACCAGTATCCCCTGTATTCAAATTCATTGAGTCACGTCCAGCAGCACTGCCTGAAGGAAGAGCCAGTACAACCTTCACTGAATACAAATACAAACCCTACGCTAAAGTCCCATGAGTTGTCAGTACATTTCTGATAATATTTTGCTACCCAAAAAACGACCTCTATTTGTGCTATCTCACTGAAGCAACCTCATTTGATGGGATAGACCTTTAATTCCCCTTGCTCTCTCTATTCTCTTGCTGAATACGGGCTCCATTTGCAGCCGTTTCCATGAAAAAAACACTATTTTCCAATTTCTCCATTCATGCCTGTTGCCTGCTGAAGCTCCTACCTCTGCAGCAGCAACACTTGCCTTAAGTGATTTCGGGAGAACAGCCACTTTGCCCGCAAACTTCCCATTCCAAAACCCTTATCTGAACAAACCCCTTCAGACAGCAATTCCAGGCACAGGAGAAAGAGCAGAGAATACACGAACACTGAAATGTAGTCCCTACAGCACAGGAAACCAGGAAAACAGCTCAGTTAGATGCAAGAAAGGTTTTAAGAGGTACATTACAATGGGGTGAAGCACGAGTCGGCACCTTCGGTCCATGACAGCCGATGACAGGTCGAGATTAGCGGTACCTCACCCACTGCTTTGGATCCTCTCCCAAAACCCTGCAGCCCCTGGCGGGCAGCGGGGCGTGCAGGAGGGGACAGTCGCTGCAACGCGACCGAGCTCGGCAGCGCTGCGAGGAGGGCGGCACCGACCGCGGTGGCAGCTGTCGCCGACAGGAGGGCACTCGTCAGAGGACGCGGGGTCGCCATGGGAACCCCGGCCGCAGCAAAGCCCCTCCGGGCGGGACCGGCGGCTGCCCGGGCTCCGTCCCGCCGCGCCCTCCGCGCCCGCGCCCGCCCCCGCCATGGCGGAGAGCGCCGGCCCCGCTCGGCCCCGGGCACATCGCTGCCGCCGCGGGCTGGGAGGCGCTCCGGCCGGGCGGGGCCTCGCCCCTGCTCTGTCGCGACAGTCACGACCCCCTTCCCCCCGCCGTGTCCCCGCCCCCGCCGCTCACTGGGCCCGAGTCAGTGTCCCGGCCCCGCTCTGTCGCGACAGACCCCCCCTCCCGGCGCTCGCTCGGTCTCCGCGGCGGCCGGGCCGGGAGCGGGCGCTGCCCGTGCGAGGAGAGAGGAGAAGGGGAGGGGAGGGAAGAGGAGGCGGCGCGGGGCGGGGCGGCTCCTGCCGGAGCAACGGGTCCCCCGGGCGCGGCGCTCTTCGCCGCCATCTCATTGTCCCCGCCGGGGCTTTGCCGGGGGCGCGGGGCCGAGCCGGGCCGGCCTCCCCCGCCGCCGGGCCTG